TTGGATGGGAAGGGACCTTAAGGCTCATCTTATTCCACCCCCTGCCATGGGCAGGGACACCTCCCACTATCTCAGGTTGCTCCAAGCCACGTCCAACCTGGCCTTGGACACTTCCAGGGATGGGGCAGCCACAGCTTCTCTGGGCAACCTGTGCCAGGGCCTGCCCACCCTCCCAGGGAAGGATTCCTTCCTAACATCTAATCTAACCCTGCCCTCTGTCATTTTGAACCCACTGTTTCAAACCCTGTAATTCCCTGTGAGGCCCAGGATCCTGTCCCATGGCCGTGGACACAGTGGCTGTAGCAGCTGTGAGGAGATGCTGGAGGTGCTTTACAGAGCTGTCCTTCAGTGATCCTGCTCTTCTCACGGGGCAGGATAAAGATTTGATGGCAGCACATCCCATTTGTGGCAGGAGATCCAGGTAGCAGGAGGCAGCTGCTGATGGGAAGCGAGTTTCTTTGGGATTCCAGGCATTAGCAGCAGTCGGATCCTGCCCAGCTCATCCGTGGGGTTCACAGGCAGCTCCTGCTCCAACTGCACCTCAGACACAGCTGGGAATTAGGAGCTTACAGGATGCTCTTAATTAACAGCAGCACAACTTGGATTCCAAAGGTTAATTGCCTGGTTTGGAATTCCTGGTTTGTTGGGGTTTTTTTCCTTCTGCGCTTTATTTATTTATTTTAAGCCCTCACACAGCTGAGGGAAGCCAAGTACAGAGCAGAAGGCAATCCTTGCATTAATCTTCCAGGCAATTTCAGTACATTGGGTGATTTTGCTGTGCATTCATTGCAGCTGACAGTTCTCCAGAGTGTCTGAGAATGTGCCACGGCACTGCAGCAACCGAGCAGGAATAGTGCACTCCAGAGGCATCCCCTCTGCCATGCCTGTGGGACAGGGGGATGGGACACCTGCCAAAGGTGTATGGCCTGTTCCAGGACGTTTCCAGCCTCTGAAAGGTGACTCCTTTTTGTCCCAGATGCAGCTTCACTGACTGCTCTGAGGAAATAATTGCTGCTGCCTGGGTTTCCTTGATTCCCAGCTCCGTGGTTATCCAGTACAAGGACAGAGTCCTTCATTTGTCCAGCAGAAATACTGTTGTCACCCCTCTGGAGCTCTGAAATCATCCAGCAGCACCTCTGGTTTAAATTGTTAAGAAGAGCCCCCCACTTGGCTTCCCAGAGGAATTTGCTGAAGTAGCTGTTGATACTTGTAATGATTCCACATAAAAGGCTCAATTTACATCAAATGGCACTAGAAATGCTATTTTATATTCGCTTCTCAGAAGAGAAGTACAAATTACTATTTGTTCCAAGCTATTGCCGTTCAAAGAGCTTTTAATTGCTTTTCTGATCCCTCATCCACGGCGTGTTTCGTTCGGAGCAGCTGCTTTTGGAGCAGGTTGGGGCTGACCTTGAGGGGCACCCAGTGGTCCGTGGCTTGTCAGAGTGAGACAAGTGCTGGGTTTTGAGTAGCACATTTCATTATTCCGGAGTAGAAGTAATTCTGTGTGATTTAAGGTAGCAACTCACTCCTCCAGTGACGTCCCTGCTTCAGCATTTTGTCATT